TTCTCTATTATGAAGAAACTAGTAGTAAGTAGTGCTTGAGCACTTCTTATTTGTCGTCCACCACAAAATTTTGTGGAATCAAACGTGAATGAGAGAGAGAGAGAGAGAAAGAGTTGATGATCACTTAAGTCCTACACAAAATTTTGGCATAAACTTTTAATACAAAATACTTATTGAACAAATTCTTTTATTCCTACAGAATGTCAAAAGATGCATCAAACAATTTTGGTGAAGACTCCATGCTAAATAGTCTTTTTATTTTTAAATAGAAAAGATAGATAAGAGTATGTATATTAATGTAAAATGATCATACGTTGAATTGGGACGTGGCATTTAATTTGAGGTGGCTTATTAGAAAGTCGCTGAATTGGAGCATACTGATTTGGTACACCTGTCAAACACGCGATTTTTCTTGGCACAAAGCAGCAGATCAGATACAATTTTGTTTCTTTGATACTTGCTTTAACATCAATACAATTTGTTTCAACCAATACACAGTTAATCTGAAGTCTGAACACAAGAAAATCACATTCATCCATCTCAACTGACATCAATTTTGAAATTCAAGGTAACACAACCCAATTTTCCCAATAATGAACCCAATTTTCTCCACATTTTTTTTAATCATTCAACTAAAATTCCAGAATATTTCCGTTTGAAATATTCGTCGGAATTCTATTGAAATATATTATCATTATTTTTCGTTGGAATATGACTTATGACATTATTTTTATAGTGTTGTGATATAGATTGTCTTCGTTCATCCACACCAAAGTATCAAATATAATGGACATATTGAACTGGCTGAGAAAAAGAAAGAAGGTGAGAGAACAATTAATGAAACTTGTAAGATCGTCATCATAATAATTAATTATGTAACTATAGACATTACACAATAAATTAATATAGACGGTTTATTCATTAGAATTTGTGATTATACCTATAAAATAAAAAAATATTATTTTGATAAGTTAAATTTAGTAAAGTCCACCAAACTTTATAAATTTATATCTGACTAATTGATTTCAAACAATTCAAGGTAACTAATTCTTCCAAAGATTAACTGATAAAGGATTGAAAGGATAGCAATATCACAATATGGGATAAATACTTGATTCCATGTGGTGGTGATTGTCCTTTCTTTTTGGTTCATAAGGAATGTACGAATGTGGATCAAATACCTCTGGCCCTATTGTATGGTTAATTTCAAGTTCTCTCACCAGACATAAGACTAGCAACCTATGGTAGAATATATACTTGTTTGGCAATTTGAGATGGTTGATAACTAATATATCATCAATATTGGAAAAGAATTCATCTAGCTAATAATATTAGGTTCTTGTATAAAACTGTTTGATGAATAGTAATATAGGACTGACATATAATCGTACAAAATGACCAGAATAGTAATATCACAATTATTTATTCTTGGTGATTCCAATTCTTTAGCTTTTATTTCATCCAACTTCATGGAAATTCCGCCTATTTTTCCCCAACATGCAACTTTCAGAATCTACATTAATTTGCAAGAACCATTCCCTTCAAAAGTTGACAGTCCACCAACAACCGTCTGAGACTGGGAATTTTACATTATTTTGGTCTACATAATGTAATTAATATAAATAAATAGCAGACTTTGCTTTAAAAGAAAGAAAGAAAGACAAAAAAAAAAAAAAAAAAAAAAAAAAAAAGGAGAGAGAGAGAGTAAGAATCATTTACCAGGACTATTGGCAGACAATCAATATAAAGCCAAAACTTCCCTACTAAACCACAACAGTATATTAGGTTTTACAGAGGTATCAACTGTCCGTGCCTGTCGTTTCAAAATGACTTAAACTCCAGCGTAAATATGTATTATCGGTTCTCGTGCAGAGATAGTAACACTGATCAAAGAATACACAGTCATTCCCTTTGGTCACCTAACAGGGGCTGAGATGAAAGACCTGAGAAAACAGAAAACTCTAAATGAAATAACGTGAATATGAAAAAGACTTCAACCAGTTCTTTCTTTCTTTCTTTCTTTCTTCCCAAAGTTAAAATGTGTGATTTTAATTTTATAACTCCTTCAGCTTTCACCGCAAGAATTACAAGTCATATATAAAACACATAGCCCAGATCCTATATATGTGTAATTTCACTAATTTGCGATCATGCAATCAAACACAGTAGGAATTGGATTCCAACAGTGCTTTTTATTTCATACTTTTGACTACTAATGTCCAGAGCTAATTTACCTGCATGATGATCATTTTGTTCACCAGACGACTGTTTCGAAAACTTCTCCTTTATTTCAGCTATAACCAAATGAGTCAAAAGCAGCCCAGCAGCAAAAGCACCAATGATCAGCATAGAGAAGACTTCATCCCAACCCTTTGATGATAAAAATCCAGTCAATAAAGGACCCAAAGCAGCACCTACAGAGCCCGTGCCATCAATGATTGCAGTAACAGTTGCAAGTGCTCGAGAATCGCCTTTTAACGAACGATGAGTGCCAAGATCAGCTGAGACTGCAGTTGTGATAAGTGCATACGGCCCGTTTACGAATAATCCAGCTATCATCATAAGAACAACATTGCTCGTTTTAGACACACTTCCGTATTTTCGGTAAAGAAGCATAGCAGGGATTGCAGAATAAACGAAGGTGGCAGCAGTTGCAGCTCGTGCTCGAAGTTTGTCGGATATATAACCGGCAAGAATTCCACCGATTATTCCTCCCACATCGAATAGAGTCGAGAGATTTCCAGCAGATTTTACTGACATGTACTCTCCTTCAATAGCTGTACAATAATATGACAATTAATTCAAGAAAGCAGGGAGAAAATTCATACGCGGTTGTGCAAAAACCTTTTTTGTGATATTTCACTATTGTAAATATTGTTTATAGATTGGAAGAGATATTATTATTCAAACAGACTTTAGGGAGAAACTAAAATTGCATTTGCTGTCTGCTAAACAAATGCATTGGGCACAAGCAAAACTTCTGACAGTCAAAGATGATAGGAAAAGGTAATTCAACACAGTTAGTCAACTGCAGAAGAATTTAACTGTTGCCCCCGTTGACTTGATTCTATAAGGGAGTTATATAATTTCTCTACTATTTTTCAGTTATGTCCTGAAAACTTTTCTTAACTACCAGTTAATTAATCGACTAATCTTAGTTATGAACAAGGTATTACATAGTAGAGATAGATAACTACACAAATGCCTTATCAAATTACGAAAGAAGAAAGACCTCCATACATATATGAAATTCCAGATCCTACTTCTTGAAATTTCTTCATTTATGTCTACAAAAACTCAACAACTTTTTCTAATCAGAAGTTTCATCCTAGTAAAAGGAACCATGCCTGATAACTTCTCTGTATGTACTAACTAAAAACAACTGGGACATGAATGCAAACGATAATACAATAAGCAACAAATTGATGCAAGATCATAAATACCTGTCCGGCTAAGGTAGAAAGGCAACCAATACAAGAACGTGTAAGCAACCAGCTTCGCGAAAAAAAGACAGAGAGCAAATGGAATAACTCCAGGTATTAAGCAAGCCTTAAATAGTCCCACACTTTTCCTATTCCCTGAGGCCCTCTCCCCATTCCCAACCAAACACTCCCCCGTTTTCTGAGCTTCTTCATCATCTAAAACGGCACTTAGGCCAGTATATCCATTAGGGCTCGAAAATCCAACATCTTCCGGATAAGCAGCTAAGAACATGTACACAATTATCCCGCTAAGAAAAATAAACGAGCCTGGGAGGATAAAAGACCATCCCCACCCGTACTGCAAAACACTTGCGGCAAGCAAAGAGCCTGTAATATTCCCGATCGATGTGTGTGCATTCCAAACGCCCATTATCAAGCCCCTTTTCCTTTTCCCGAACCAATTTCCGATAACAGCCACTACAGAAGGCCAGCCGGTGGCCTGGAATAAACCGGCGGCCATCTGCATCGCTAGGTAGAAGGCGAAATTATGAACATCCCAGAAATAGCCCATCCCAAAAAGGGCAACAAAAACCCCGCTGCCTACCATACCGGCGGTGAGGAACAGCCGGAGGTCCAATTTGTCGCCCAAATGTCCGGCAACGTACATCCCAACGGCGTAACAGCCCAAGAAAGCCAAATCGATGGCGCCCAATTTCGATGTTCCGTCCTTTCCGTCAAACGGCGCCCAGCCCTTGCCACGTTTCCCTAACTCGGCCCCTAATAAGGATATGGGCTCCCTCTCGATGAAGATGGGGCCCGCGGGCCAGGGTTGGGGTTGGGGCACCGTGAAATTGCCATCCGGGTGCGGATTCAGAACGCTCTTCACTATGCTGCTGGGTTTTCTCGAAGCGTGGTAGGCGGTGTAGGCTATGAAGGTGACCAACAAAACGACGTACCTGTAGGTATTCAAGCTCCAATCATTTCCCCTAACGCGCCTAATCAGTAGAATCCCAGGTGGGTTTCTCCTGTAATTGGTTAAGAAATTCTCTCTGGACATGTTTTTCGCGAGTAAAATTACTCAAAGATTTGCAGAAAAATTACGACATTCTTTGAATGTAAAGCTGGAAACGTGACAGAGAAGGTTTGGGAGAAACAAAATTGCCGAATTGAGAGGCGATTTGTTTGAATTAACGAGTATGAGGGTTCAAACGACGATCGAAATTCGTCAAAAGGACTAGTGTTGTCGGCGACTATTTGATGAAAACTCTCTTTTGTTTGTTTTTATCTGTGAGGATGAACGAGTGCTTACGTGTTTGTACCTCTGTTTGTGCTCTGTGCGTGTGTGTGTGAGAGAGGGGGCAACGAAGGTGGTATTGGGAGGAGCGAGGATGGCGGGAGAGAGTGGTGATTTTACGTAGGCGTGGAGGGACGCGTGGCAAAAGATTACAAGTGTCTACTGTTGGGCCGTTGGGCAGTTCATTAAATGGGAATGATTTGAGTGATTGGGTATGAATTTAATTAGTAAAAAATTTGTTTTTTTTTGAATTATAGTTAAATTTAAAAAAAAGTAGTATGGTTAGTTATTACTGAATATTAGTATATTGTCCGTGCGGGGGCATTCATTATATATATATTTTTCAAGATATTTTTATAATTTAAATTGTCTCATTCCATTAAAAATTTCATGAAAATAAAATTTATATGTTATTAAACACTTCCTTATGCACAACATTATTGATTTGATTCTTTGGCACGTAAAGTACTACATAGGTGTTCGAATTTATCCAAAATTTCATATTATTAGTTATTAGTTAACAAATTTTAAAAAATTTAAAGGATCTTATTTATTGAACAAAATTGAAGTAGAAAAAAAAGTAATTTTTTTTAGAGATTTTCACTCATTATTTATTTTAAATCTAATTCTAAATTTCAATTAAGAAAAATTGAAAACATCATTAGTTACTCCTGAAAATGAAATAGATTTTTCTACCAATAAACTGATTTTTTTATCAAACTAATTGATCCGAATATTTTTTTAAACCAAATAAAAAAATCATCAATTTTTCCTAAAATTGCAACTGAAATTTCCTAAGCACCAATTTTCTTACCAAACAAATTGAATTGTAACTAATTCTAATAAAAAATTGAAATAATTTGTTAATGTTTATGCAACTGTCTCTTTCTTAAAGAAAATGATATGAATTTAACCAAGAAAAAAAATGATATGAACTTACCAAAATCTCGGTGAAACATGGTTAAGAAAAAACATAAGAATTCAAAAAAATAGATGCCTTCAAATTTTGAAAAGTCGCACATAAATTTTCCTAAATAATTGGATAAGGTGACTATAAATATCAAAGATGAACCGCTTTTGTTACCAAAAAACGTGGACACAATTTTGAATGTACATCCCGTCCAAATATCAGTTTTATTTTAAAATAAAAATTGCACGTGGTTTTATCCAATTTACATACTTTTTTTGAAAGAAAAAAAATTCAGTAATATTGGAAGAATTTGTTAAGAATTATACAACTATTTATTTCTTAAATTTGTACCAAATTTGCAAGGTTTTTAAATTAATTTGTATTTAGAATTGTTTTCATAAATAATTGACACATTTTTTGCATAAGAATCTCCAAATTGTTACAAAAAAAGATATGAAAATTTTGGTAAAAAAATAAAATATGATACGAAAAAAATGGAATTCAAATTTTTCAATAAGAATCTCCAAATTTGTTGCCAAAAAAATAGGATTCGGATTTTGTTACTATAGATTCATATCTGTTTTTTCGAACTTTCCATTAATAGTAAGTCAAACATTATATTTATTTGGTCAAATTTTCTATTAATGTATTTTCCCAACAACCTCTTTATATACATATAGATATTAAAATAATATTTAAATTAAAATAATTAAAGTTGATTTGATATAAAAGTAGGAGAAAATGATTGAAAGTGATGGTTAGTTAAAATTATGTGAGTGAGTGAATAGTGAATTAAAGTTGATGTGATGTGTAATAATGATTGTTTGATATTATTTAATTATATTGATAATATTGAAGATAGTTGAGTTGAGTTAAATTTGAGTTTTTAGTGGGATATTTACTGTACAAATTATAAACAATCACGCCCTAATTAATTCAATATATATGTTAGGTGCAAACAATTATTAAGAAATAAAACGTGTTTTAAATTTAGGACCTACGGTATGATTGATAAGGATTTAATTGATTTTTATTTGGTTGTTTTTTAGTTAAAGTTAAATTTCAAAAAAAATATGGTATAATTAATTGTTAGTGGAAGTTTAAGTTTATATTAAAATAATATTTAAAATAAAATAATTAAAATTATTTTGATATTAAAGTATCAAAGATACAATATGAAGTGATAGTCAGTTAAAAATATTTGAGTGGATAAATAGTGAAAAAAAGTTAATATGATATGTAATGGTTTTTTATTAGTATTATTTAATTATATAGATAAGATTGAGATTAATGAGGTTGAGTTAAATTCAAATTTTGATTGGTTTTCCTCGGATTGAATTTATATCCAATCACGCCTTAATTGATCCAATATGGCTTTTGGGTTATCGGTCCAACTTTAGTATTATTGATCAGATGAATAATTTTTTTTTTAAACATTATATTTATATTATTTTTTAACATACATGAAAATAACAAAAACATATGATTTATATGTAAATTTTATATATAAAAACATTATCATATAAAGAGATACACAGAACATTATTTTTAAAAATAAAATAGTCAAATAAAAATAAAAAATATAATAGTTAAAGCCAAACAGAGTTTACATGGTTGAGTGATTACCAGACGTGAGTCAGGTGACTGGGTTTTTTACCGAGTTTGACTGGTTCTCTTGATACACGGTTTACATAACACACATGGATTGATTTCGGCTCCAACTCGATCTGGTCCCACGGTATGGATTTGAAAACACTTAATTCAAAACATATCTGGTCCCACGGTATGGATTTGAAAACACTTAATTCAAAACATAAGTCACACAAAATAAAATTATATATAATTTTATACANATAAAAAAAAAAAAGTAACAATCACATGTTATATATATTTACAAAAGATAATATACCTATATATACAATTTTATTTATTTGAATTAAGTAAACAAATGAACTCATGATTGATCGGAAAAATTGTGTATTTTATATATTTATTAGTATATTTTTATATGCTTCATTTTATCGCACTTATATATTTTTCGACTTATTTATTCTTTGGATGGATTCTAGCGCTTTGATGTATTATGTATTATTTTTCAGTATATTGGTGTATGTTTGTGGATGCGAAGCATTGAACGGAAATTCACGAGAGCAATTTCGACCGTCCAATACAAGAATAATCAAAGTCCAAGTGCATAAATAAAATTGACGTGGGCTGCGGACGAAATAAAGCCCAAATTCACGAATGAATGCTGAAAATATAAGGACACAAATTGGACTTATTTGGGCAATTGGAATTATTTGTTGGGAGGAGATTTAATTATTGATTTTTGGGCTTATATTTATTTGCTGGAGAGGAATTGATTTGCTAGAGGGATTAGTTGGGCCCAATTGATATGAGAGAATTTGGAATTTGAGGATACTTACGTGCGGAAGAATAGGTGCGAGGAGCCAGGGCATTATTTAGAACATAGGGCAAAGAATTATATACGAGGAGGATTTTATTTTGTGAGACGCCACGTAAAGCCGGCATACAAGGAGAAAAAGAGACTCACGCGAGCAGCAGAAGAAGAAGACGGAGACGTGGGAACCCGATCAATTGGGGACCGCACCCGCACACGAAAGGGGATAATTCTATTCTCTTTCTTTTGTTTTTATTTATTATGTTAGAGTAGTTTTTATTTCTAGTTCCGGTGAAGTCGAACCCTATGACTTGATGATGTTTGATTGATTTTCGTGGTTGATTATTGAGATATCTTTTTAGAATTGCTTGTGTTATTTTGAATAATTAACCATGATGTGTTGAGTCTTATTTAGATTGATCACCTAGATTAGGCTTTTCATATATACATCTAAATTAGACCTTCAATCCGTAATTGTTGTTGTGTTTAGTTCATTAGAGGTAACCGAAAGACGGTAACTACCGCGGATAACACGGCCTATTTAAGTGAACGAACGTGGTTGAGTTCACTACTCAGTCTAGCCTATTTTTCTAATTTGTAAAGCGGCTAATTGTATTAAATCTTGAAAACGTTTTTCTGGACTGTACAAGAAGTCAGGTTTAATCGTAGAGCGTCTCGCGGTTAAATTAAAAATAAGAAAAAATTCGGGTAAGAGACCGTGTCGTTGCCTAGGGCTAGTAATTCCATGAGATATGGAGATTTGATACTAAAATTGATTAGACGTGTCAGTCGAGGGTGTAGACGGAACCGTGAACTAGATATTTCTCTTAATTTATTGTATTTTTATTTTCTTATTTATATTTCATTCTTAGATAGATTAGATTTATAATTCAAAATCCCCCATTTATCGCTTTTTATAATTTCAATTATTACAAGAAAATTCACAATTTGATTCACACACCCTGTGGGTTCGACCCTTACTCATTACTACTACTAGTTGGTAGAAGTCGGTTAAGGAAATATAAATTTTAATTTTTCCGCGTAAAAATTTGAACGCGCGTCGTTACGCGGCAAAATTAAAATTTATATTTTCCATAACCGACTTCTACCAACTAGTAGTAGTAGTGAGCAAGGGTCGAACCCACAGGGAGTGTGAATCAAATTGTGAATTTTCTTGTAATAATTGAAATTATAAAAAGCGATAAATTCGGATTTTGAATTATAAATCTAATCTATCTAAGAATGAAATATAAATAAGAAAATTAAAATAAAATAAATTAAGAAAAATATCTAGTTCACGGTATTGTCTACACCCTCGACTGACTCGTCTAATCAATTTTAGTATCAAATCTCGCTATTTCATGGAATTACTAGCCCTAGGCAACAACACGATCCGTTACCCGAATTTTTCCTTATTTTTAATTTAACCGCGAGACGCTCTACGATTAAACCTGACTTCTTGTACAGTACAGAAAAATGTTTTCAAGATTTAATACAATTAGCCGCTTTACGAATTAGAAAAATAGGCTAGACTAAGTAGTGAACTCAACCGCGTTCGTTCACTTAAATAGGTTGTGTTATCCCTGGTAGTTACCGTCTTTTGGTTACCTCTAATGAACTAAACACAACAACAATTACGGATTGAAGGTCTAATTCAGATGTAGATATGAAAACTCTAATCTAGGTGATCAATCTAAATAAGACTCAACACATCATGGTTAATTATTCAAAATAACACAAGCAATTCCAAAAAGATATCTCAATAAT